AATTATTATTTCTTATTTTAAGTACAAAAGCTCTCCAAGTTTTTTTTTTTTCCTCAGGTTTGCAGACCAAGTCATCAGACATCTGAATGCCGTTCCAGCAGCTAATGGCTGCAAAAAGCCTGACCGAGTTTGACGTTAGTCGTGGTCAGGCAGCTCAGATTAGTTCAGAGTTACTGAAGTGTGACCAGTTAATGATGGAGAGAAATGCTTCAGGAATTTAAGTGGAGACTTTTACTCTCTGCTGCTCGGCATGACCATCGGGAGCTTCTTGAGCACCGTGTATAAATACTGACAGGCGGAGTGCATTGCTCCATTAATGAAACTGCAGCAGTCGAGATTCCAGATTGCACCGGCTTCAATCCAAACTGAAAATCTACGATCTTGCATGCAAATTTGCCAGATTTTTATTGAGCTGAAGACGCCAGCAGATAAAGATGAAACCATCGAAAGCATGCTCTCAGGGTTTGGCGAAACGTTCTTTGAATTTGCTGGAGTGAGTGTTAGTGTCGTGCAGGAAAAATAAAGCTGAAGATTCTTGGTAAAGCTCTAAATAGAAGAAGAAAACACACAAGCATATTTGATTTGAATAGATGTGGGGAGAAACACAAAAACCTGAGTTTCTTTTGATAACACATGCCGGCGTTGCACTGAGAACTGAGCCCGGTGCAGACAGTGAGCAGAAGATGCCTGGAGTAGGAAGAGGGATATTTTGGGGAGTGGGTGTGATGTAGCCAAGTTATGGGGGGGGGATTAGGAAGGAAGAGGACTGTTAAGCACGGGTTTTCATTTGCCAAGCTAAAAACTCTGAGCCCAGTCTGAATGCCAGCAGCATATTCTATACAGAAATAGTCTCAACACAGTTCACAGAGGAGGCCGATCTCTTAAATGCCCTTGATCAGCCCTCCATGCCCTGTGTGGACAGGAGGAGCCGTGCGGTGTCACAAACCACTCGCAATGCCTCGAGCTTCCAGACTAACCCGGCTCGTACTAAGATGTTGTCATTTGAGAACAAACTGTGGGCGCACTACATTATTTTCCTCTTCTTGACATTGTCAGTATTGACTAGCTGCTCGCTTTAGCGTGATGGAGAGGGGATGATGTATTTCAGTGCATTCTTCGTGTCAGCCTGACCAGCATCCAAATGATTATGAAGCAGCGGCATTGTCCATGGTGTTGGAAATAGATTTCCTATGTGTTTGTGGACTGCCTCTTTACATCTACAAGAAGTTACATAAAAGCTTAAGTCATTACCCAAAATATATAAAATGTAAGTCGATACTGTGGTCAAGGTTTGACGGGTTTGATCAATAAAAGAGATTTTTTAGAAATCAAGGAGTCAGTGGCTTTCCTAGATAAAGCTCCTTTTTGGTGGATTTTTTTTGATAAATTATTTGTTTTTTTATTTTTTACCCCAACTTAACAGAGACCTAACAGCACTATATCAGAGCTGTCACAGTACAATATAATTAGGCTATTATTGTAGTTACAGACGTATCCTGTCACAGCTTCGTTGCTCCAGCTGTCTGCCAGCAGCAGAAGATACACCCAAGCCGAGCTTGATATGAAACAGGTACACTGTCTTTGGCCATTTAGCAGTTTCCCTATGACTGATCAGCTGGCTCTAGTAGTGGCTGTATAGTTTTCTCACTACCCAAGTAGTCAAAGCATTACTCCATCGCGACCGCCAATACTGGGCAGTCAGTTGTACTGCAGGACAAAAGTGTTGTTTTTATTCATGGATGAAAAACAATGATATGAAGAGAAACTTTGATTTTTGGAGACTTGTGAGCCATATTCTGCCCCAGCAGCTTTAAATGTTTAAATCCCTTTGTCCTTCACTCACTCCATACAGCACCATCATACTTGTCAATGCTTTTGTCACATCTCGTTTAGATTACTGTATTTCTCTTCTCTATGGTCTACCTCAGCGGTCCCCACCCACCGGGCCGTGAGAGTTGAGGTGGGTGTAAAATTTATGGTTTTCAGGGTTTTTATTGTAATTTGTTTAATTGTATTTATCATTAAGTCAGTTTCCCCGGGT